ATTTGACCAGACCAGGTGAGGATGGCAGATTTCCTTCCCTCAAGGACATGAGTGAACTAAATGGATTTTTACAACAATCAATGATAGTTGTTAGTCACGTTATGGACCGGACCAGACCAAACCCCTGCAAAATATATGAAGAAGATAACCTAACTTTTTCTTATTTTAAAGGCAAGTGTAAGGTGTTGTTTGCCAGATGCAATTCGATTGGTCAAACTACCTGATTTGAAGCAAAACAGACTTTACTCACAGTTAAATTTCAACAAAAGAAAGAAGAAATTGGAATTACTTAACTGTATTGGAAAGCTTAACAGAATAATAGTTTATTTAACCACTGAACAGTAACTGTTCCAATATAGTAACATCCCACAAACACACCCTTGGCAAAGGCAAATTCAGTAAAATAGATTGTGTCACAGGCAACTCGAGCAGCAGAAAGAGAACCCCAGCTTTTAGCTGTAACAGAGAGAGGAATAAGAGCTTCCACATCCAGCTTCAAGACCCCAGCAACTGCTACTGAAAAACTAAAACTAAAAATCCTCATCCCACCCAGTCAGACTGCTTCTGTTGTTCCAAACAAAAACCAAGGCGTCAAGCCGTTTACTTTGTGAGCTTTCAGTAGACAGCTCAACGCCTCTGTCTTAAAATCTCTCTTCCAAAGCAAAAGAAGACCAGGACAAGGTACCCCTCTTAAAGCCATGGTACCATCATGGTCATCACTGGGCTAGCTTTTACGACCAGCACTGCATTGATTCCAATTTCTCTGTTTACTACATCAGACTCATGTCCCTGGAACATGCCTCTGGATTACTGGCCCAGTGACAACACCACAATGTCATTGGCTGCCTGGAGGTCGAACAAGCCATTCAGATCAAGGGCAGTTAGTGAGACCGACAAATGCTGGCACATTCTGTTTTGGGGGGGAGGGGGAGAAAACTGTGAGGTTGTTGTGTCGTTTTAAATTTGGAATTCTTGCATTTGTCATGATTCCAAGGTGAAAGATTCCTGCTCCTGGAGTCGGCTGTGAGACAATCTATTTCGCTGAATTTGCCTTTGCCAAGAGTGTGTTTATGGGATGTGACTGTGTTGGAACAGTTGCTGTTGTGTAGTTAAAACAACTTGTCTCTTAATCAGATTTGACTTAGCGTGGTGTAATTGTTGATTGTTTATGTGTGTGTGTGTGTGCGCCAGGTGCCTGACCTGAAGAAGGCAGAATGGGTCTAAAGACTACACAGGCTGCCTTTTTCCCGATCTGCAGCATCGATGAGGTGGTCAAGTTGTTTGCGTTTGAGCTGAGGAGGGATGAGCCTGACCTAACCCTGCTGTCCCTGGTGCTGGGGTTCATCGAGCACTTCCTCGCTGTGAACCGGGTCCTCCCCATCAACGTCCCCGGCTGCAGCTTTGAGGGCTCCCCATGCCCGGAGGCTGGCTCCGACGCAGCCACCTGGTTCCCCTGCGTGGACTTCTTGCAGATCCGGGCCCTGCACACCAGATTCACCACCATGATCCGGGGAGCAGTGGACCGGTCCCTCTACCCCCTGAAGGAGGGCTACTCCAGCCGCGAGCTGGTGAAGAAGGTGTCCGATGTAATCTGGAACAGCCTGAGCCGCTCCTACTTCAAGGACAGAGCGCACATCCAGTCTCTCTTCAGTTTCATCACAGGTGAGCTCTCCCCCCACTGAGCACAATTTACCCGCGACATGGCTTGTGTCTGCGTGGGTTTCCTCTGGATGCTCTGGTTACCTCCCACAGTCCAAAGATGTGCAGGTTAGGGTGGTTTGGCCGTGCTAAATTGTCCCATAGTGTCCAGGGATGTGCAGGTTAGGGTGGATTGGCCGTGCTAAATTGCCCCGTAGTGCCCAGGGATGTGCAGGTTAGGGTGGATTGGCCATGCTAAATTGCCCCGTAGTGCCCAGGGATGTGCAGGTTAGGGTGGTTTGGCCGTGCTAAATTGCCCCGTAGTGCCCAAGGATGTGCAGGTTAGGGTGGATTGGCCGTGCTAAGTTGCCCCGTAGTGACCAGGGATGTACAGGCTGTGTGGGTTAGCCATGGGCAATGCAGGGGTTACAGGGATAGGGTGGGTCTGGGTGGGATGTTCTTCAGAGGGTCGGTGTAGACTCAATGGGTCGAATGGCCTGCTTCCAAACTGTAAGGATTTTATGAAAGTCCACACAATGTACACGTGTGAGACTCCAGGAAGATTATGTCGGAGCTCTGTCCTGGTAACGGCTGATCTGAAATTTTCAGATATTGTGGTCACCTTGCATCGTGTATTCGGCGTTGAGCCCGGCAAAAGTCCGTTTGAAACATTAAGCATGAAGGCGGAACTCTTAAAATAATTTGATATCTTTTCATGTTGTGTGAACGTAATATGACAAAGCTCTGATTCCTTCTTTGATGCAGGTCCTCCCTTTGGTCCTGGTGATATAACATCTGCTCCTTCCCTCAGGCACTAAACTGGACAGTTCCGGCGTGGCCTTTGCAGTGGTAGCTGCCTGCCAGGTACTGGGACTCCGCGATGTCCACTTGGGCCTCTCCGAGGACCATGCCTGGGTGATATTTGGTGAAAACGGCGAGGAGACAGCTGAGGTGACCTGGCACGGCAAAGGCAATGAGGACAGGAGGGGGCAGACGGTGACAGCAGGTGTTGCCGAGAGGGTGAGGATGCCAGGACTGGACGAGGCTCCAGGATCTGTCTGTTCTACGTGTGTGTGTGCATGTGCTCATTCTCTGTACATGTGTGTTTGCATGTGCATCCACTCTGTGTGTGTGTGTGTGTACTCACGTCAGTGTGCTCATTCTCAGTACATACGTACACGTGTGTGTTTGCGTGTACATCCGTTGTGTGTGTGTGTGCGCGCGCGCGCACGCACTTATATCTGTGTGCTCATTCTCGGTACATATGTATACCTGTGTGTTTGCATGTGCATCCACTGTTTGTGTGTGAGTGTGCATACACCCCTGTTGGGGGGCGGGGGTGTGTGCGCGCGTGTGTGTGTGCGCGCGCGCGCACTTCTCTGTTCTCTGGTGTTGAGAAGATTGAGGGGCGATTGCATTGAGACAGAAGATTTGACAGTCTGGCATTGTTCCCACTGGTCGGGAAAATGTGGAGCTGGTTGGAGGGGAGGGGCACTTTCTCAGGATGAGAGGCCAATCGTGTTTGAGGATTGAGTGTCTTTGGAATTCCTTTCTTCAAAAGGCAGTGGATGCAGAATCTTTAAGTATTTTGAAGGCAGGGGTAGAGAGATTCTTGCTTGCGAAAGGAGCAAAAGATTACTGGGGGCATACAAGAATGTAGAGCTGATATTGGAACCAGATCAGCTGTGATCTTATAGAATAGGCTCGAAGGGCCAAGTGGCCTACTTTTGATCCTTTGGATGTGTTTAGGACTGACATGGGAAGCGGGTGTGTAGTTGTGAGTCTTTTGAATTCTCGATGGCAGAGCGTTATGGAACTCCCCGGGATTAGACAGATCTTTGTCTCTGTGGGAATCCAGGAGATGGACAGGAGGCAGCGAAGCGATATTGAAACCTGTGATCAAGACTAGGGCACCCAGCCCTTCCGAGTCTTCACCATCCCCCCAGACCTCCCCCTTACTGAGGATGAACGGTCAGTCCTCAGTAAAGGGCTCACCTGTGTCCCCCTCCACCCAAACATCAACGAATACTGCTCACGCTTGGACATTGAACAGTTTTTCTGCCGCCTCCGCCTCCACGCTTACTTCTTTAACCGTGAGCCTAACCCTCCCCCTACTGACCCCTTCTCCCGCGTCCAACACACCCCCTCCTCCTAGACACCACCCCAAGGCCTCCTACCCTCCCTTGACCTCTTCATCTCTGACTGCCGTCGTGACATCAATCGCCTCAACCTCTCCACCTCTCTCACC